GGACCCCGGAGAGTCGGGCCCCTTCCCACGTCCGCGACGCGCTTCCGAGCGCCGCGGCTCGTAGAAGAGAATTGGTTTGAATGGAGACCTTCCCACGTGCAGCGGGCGCCCGCTGCTGCGCCAAGCATCGCCGGACTCTCGCTACGCGAAGCGGAGGAGGGCGTACGCGCCACCGCTAGCAGAACACAGCTTTAAATGAGAGCCTTCCCACTGTGCCGCCGGTCGCTGCGTTTTACCTGCTGCGGTCCCTTTGTTCGACGTCGCCGGAGGGTCGGCGAAACCTACCCCTGCAGAACCCACCCCCTTCCACGGCGGGCGGCGGTGCGGCCGTGGCTGCGGCTGTGGCGGCGTCGGAAGGGCTCTGATGCTTGAAGGAAGCGCGGCGTCATGGCGACATGGGAAGGCGCCCTAAGAGCGTCGCGTCGGCAGGGCCGTTTAGGGTCGGAAGGGTGGAAGGCTGTCAGCAGGGCCAGCTTGGCCCGAACTAAACAGACGAAGGGCGGCAGGGCCAATTTGGCCCGACGGAGGAGCGAAGGTCCGTAGAGCTAGAGTTGCATTCGTCCCCCTCCACGCAGAAAGTCTGGCTGTGACATGGGCCTTAGTTGCCGAGACGCTCTTTTCGAGGCGGAGCTTCGTGTGCTTGTGCGGGCGCCAGCTGTCTGCGGCCACGCGACACTCGCATGCCGCAGCCACACATCGGGTTTCTGTTCCTCAACCTCGCAGAACACGTTCTCGGAAGAATAGGGGCCGTGCCGAGCGGGGTGGCGGGACTTTTCAGGTGAACACGTAACTTTACATTCGTTGCTTGTGGAAGGAAGAAACAATAACGATATGGAATTTTTGTGAAAGAAATTCAACATTGAGAACTTTATTAAACAGATGGGATTTTCAAGGGAGAAGACAAACTATCGTAGAACCTTGAAAGAAAGAGCAGATATTACAGCAAGCAGAACTGATTATTCATGGCAGTGTAAGAACGTGACAGAAATATTGTTTACTTAAGAAATTATTTCTTCTAATTTCCTTATGTCCTTATATTCGAAGATACACTAGACACCAACACACTTGCGGGTTCCTCTGATCTCGGGTCATCAGAACGCAAGACCCTCCGTGACAACACACACCAGAGATAAGCGACAAACAACTGTGCTCCAGGCGGGACTCAAACTCGCGACCTTTCGGACCGAAGCGCTGACTCGATACCCGGCTCTTAACCATCTCGACTATTCAGGTCGGCAAGCTATAATGGAGGCTATAATCACCGTCACCGAATTTCAAAGAATCGGCGCTGTTTACTTTCGTCGAGCTTTTTATTCAACTCGCCATGACCAAATTTTAACATCATTTACATGCTATTTTGTAAAGCAAATCTGTGAAGAGCGACTTCAAATGAATTGAAATCATCCTTCAGAATGAAAAGCATTTAAAATTCATTTTCAAACAAGTACAATGAACAAAAAAAAACAAATAATAAAATATCATGTCAATTAACGAACAAAGCCACAACTTCTTTCGCGAAATAATAAATTCTCATTTTTTTTTGTCATTCCCTGGCTTTTTTCGACAATTAACCTCTCAGTTCACGAAGTTTCCTTCTCCCAATTGACAGAGGATCCAATACATCGAACAAACAGTCAAACTCACTCCGTACTTCCATCTAACACAAGTGAAGATTTCCACTCGGAAACTTTAAAAAACTTCCGGCACCACTCTACCTCGCGAATTTTTTCTTCAATAATTCCTATGCTGCCGTGTTCCGAAAGTGTCCGCGTCGCTCCCCGGGTGGGCCTGGCCACGCCACGCCTACGCCACGCCTTCGCCAGCGCGCCGCCTCGTGGCGCGGGCGAGGGCGCGGGCGAGGGCGAGGGCGCGGGCGAGGGCGCGGGCGAGGGCGCGGGCGAGGGCGCGGGCCGCGCCGGTCCGAGATCAATACCCGTTCACCCTCGGCCGCGTGCGTCTGGCCCTCGCCACACACGCACCGGCGCGGGCGACACGCACCACCCCCTTCCCCCACTCTCTTCCAAATTATTATTATTAAGAGCTTACGTCTCCCGCTATCTAAAACCAAAGAATGTACACGCAAATAATACCATTTTGCGGACTTTATGAACATACTGCCATCATTCCACATTATTAGGAACATATGATAATGTGCAAGGTCAAACATACGTAATATCTAGACCAGAACAATATTTCAACGAATTAAAGGGGTTGGAACTATACAATGCATCATCCTGTTTTGATACTTATGGTAATCCTAATGAGAAACTAGTCTACAGAAGTCATCTTTACTTTCTCGAAGTTAACTATTTTTCATACAAATTTTTCTCCAATTAGATCTTTCATTAACGTCATGTAAATTTTTTTGGAAAAATTTAGTAGTTTCTGGGCAATTTTGAGTGACCTATGGGCAGTAAGAAAATATTGAAAAAAGTGTATTTTCTCAAAGATTCAAACTACATCTTTTTGTACGGATACTGTTAAATATACTGTGACAGATTAGGAGAAAGTCATTTCGCTGTATTTTTTGGGGGGAAAGAACAAAAAGGATTTTTCTCTCTCCATCGTTAATATTTACTATACCAGCGATTTGTATGCATTATTGTATTTGTAAGCAGAGGTGTAAGCAGAGGTGTAAGCAGAGGTGTAAGCAGAGGTGTAAGCAGAGGTACCCCATTTTCTCGAAAACTGTTTTTTTCCTACGTTTTCGCCGGTAGTGCTAAATGGACTGAATAATACGACATAAATGATTCTTTGATGTACTCTTTTGTTTTTCAAAAATTACACTAATGCATTTTGCTTAAAATATCTTTCACGCCGTTAGTAATTACATTATGGGAATTTCTTATAAATTATTAATTAGAAAGTACAATTATTTCAAATAACTTTTCCATGAAGTTTCGCGAATACTCAAACCTTTTGGATGAAAATAAGGTTCAAAATGCCCATTTTCAGAAACGCTCAAAGGACACTTTCTTAAAAACAGCTGCAAATATTTCAAGAGAAATGTACATATACGGCCAGATTTTACACTTCTCTAATATTCTTAGTATTACAATTGTATTATCAGGGATCGAACTAAAAACCCAACGCTCCAATAAATGGCAGCTTAGATGAAGGTGTTGCAAAACCCAAATGATAGCATGAGACTAAAGATATGAAGGAATACGTATGGCACCGAAGTTTGTGCCATTCTGAAGCACCACTGGTTACTTTCTAGTCTACTGCTCACGCAATTTCGAGAAAGTATTGTAATGGCGCGAGAGAAAAAAGTGATTTGACAAAAAAACAACAACAACAACAAAAAACATTCAACTCCTTAGTGGGTCCTGTTGGTGGACAAATTGTTTTCCTAAATGTAGAAATTTACTTCCCCTAACACCTGCGTAGTGAGAATCGACGTTTGGTAGGTCCTTGATACCGAAAAATTGAATTGTGGCAAAACGTCTCTCCTCCTGTTCGTGCGTTGTTTGCCTGTAATCAACACTAGTGGATCCGGATGGCCGAGATCGCTAAGGCAGTGTAGTGTCATGGAGATCCCGGCTCGAAGGATCGCGGTTTCGAATCCCGCCTCGGGCATGGAAGCATTTGTGATCGTCTGTTCACACTTCATCGCCATCCTATCACTTGAATTGAATTTGCCTTATTTTACGTGGCGAGACTCGGGCCATCAGGCCCGCTCTTCCGTCTGACCACGCAAATTCCGCTACGCTCCTTTCACCAACTAGGAGAGAAAGGCGGTATTTCTTGGGCGAGAAACAGGCGATTTGAATTTAGCTCAGAGGCGTCATTTAGGCTTGAGGATCTTTGACATGCAAGTAAATCTACGAACATGGGACAGCCGGCTTTACTTCCCCTCCGAAGGAAGGCGTACGAAGGATTTTTTTTTCGCCCTTAAAAATCCACGGCTTCGATCGGGTTTGAACCCGCTAACTTGGGTACAACAGTCCACTACGCTACACCATCGCCGCCGCCATCACTTCATTAAAGAAGGATTCCCTGCGCTTGTAAGAGGCCGTTACCCTTCATGGGATGTGCAGTTGGGTAATTAAAAACACTAGAGACTGAACCGTCAGCAGGATTTTCATCGAAAATGATCCCCAATCTATATGGCTGCTCTCGCGGCCCCTTGAATTTGAAACGCACTATATTTTGTTTTTTGGGGTACTTTACGTAAAGTGTCAATATTTTCAAAATTTTCTCAAAATTGTGCCACATTTAAGCATCTTAAGCCCAAATTTAATAAACATTTTTAGAGCCAGGGTTGATATATTTTTTTAAATGTTAAGTCAAATTGTAAAGACCTCCTAAAAATCAAAATATCCGTTTCAAACTCGTGGAGTCTCGAGTTAGTTTAAATTGAACGTACAATATCAATTTTGGAGAAACTCGCATGGACGGTTTTGGCGATAGCATTGGCGGTACACGATGTGCGAGCGCACGGATGGACTGACAGCGGTTTTGCCGTCAATCAGTTTTTCAAGGACTCACAAAACCTGCATTCTGACTACTCAGCGTTTTAGAGGAAGTAATTTACTACATGTATTAAACAAGATTTATCAACTTTTGTGTTTCCAGGGCCCGACAATAAAGAGTTTCCCCATCGAAAAATCGCTGATTTCCGCCGCAAGATTCCCATCTTTCCTGTTGAAAACGCAGTTAGTAACACTAGAAAGAAAAAAGAAATTTTGCTGTCAACATTTCGAACAGTATGAGTGATAAAAAGTATACATGCCACTATTAGCCGCATTTCCTCACGACTTTTTGTGAAAACTGCATTGTAATATATTCAACCATCCAGAAATGGGGGGAGGTGGTGATGTTCAGAGACACACCTTGCACGGTTCACAAAAATAAATTCGTATTTCGAAACACAATGTTTAGTGAAAATGAAGGTCATAACCAAAGCGTTTGCAAGTTTCAAACGCTTTATTTAACACCTTCTCTTCGATATCAAATGTACAAGACGACAAACGAAGTTGGCTGAGGTGTTTACGCACCCGAGCGGCTGAACCGCCGATCTTTGTCGGCAGGGATGTTGCCATTAGGCTCCAGTCGGTCCAGGAACTCCTCCGAGTAGACGCTGTAGGGCAGCTTGGCCACCCGCGACCCCTCCTCGCCCTCCTCTTTGGAGATGGCTGCAACAAGACAAGCGAGCGACGTTACTACATTGCGAACAAAAAGAAGTCAATGAATATCGAATTACATAATATTGCAATATTAAATCTGGAACACTAATACATCACTTAGGGCCGGTTTCACCAACAGCGGAGTAAACTTGAGAGTAGTTACCCGAGAGTAACCATTTACTCTAAGATAGTAACTCTCGAGTAGAATATGAGCGTTTCGCCATGCTTCTAGAGGGTTATTTTACTCTAGAGTACATACTCTCCGATTTACTCCTCAAATCAGCTGAACACACAATATATGAGAGCTATTTAAGAGGCTGTGAGCGAGAATGACGCTGCGAACCAATGCGGACCAACGCGAACCTTTGATTGATTCCTTATATTCTATCATTCATTTCAGTTTCGGAGTTCTTGGTTATAATCTGGTGTGGTGTTATGGTGGTTTGAGTTAGCATAGTTTATTTCCTAGTTTCTGTACCTTTATTTCTTAATAAATATTCATTCTTCTTCTCTGAAGACAAGTTACTATTTTGTTAGCAATGCAGAAAGATCAAATTTGCAGTTCGTTTACCGATGGCGGTGCATATGAATTTTCTATAACTAGGGAAAAAATGTTCAGTTTTTCAAATGTTGCCGATCTCGTTTATTTCTAAATTTTATTATTATTTGTTGTTTTATTTTTGAAAACTTTTATTCACCTTTCAACTATTTGTAGTTAAAATATTCGAGAAAACGTGCGCAAATGATGTCCCCCATACGTCACATACAGTATTCACTAAATAAATAAATGAATATTTCTTAGTACTTGTAGTCCCTGTAGTTATTCTTTTTCCTTTTGTTGTCGTAATCGGTAAGTACTACCTTTATTTCGTATCCACATGGGAGAAAAAGAACTTTAAAAGTTCTCTACATTTTACAATGTATCTGTTTAAGTTAAACAACTGATTTGGCCAAACATAACCTCATGACACAATCTCGATCGTCATAATTGAAACCAATCCATTTTCTCTCGCACCCTTTGTCTTCGCACTAATGGATAATATTCCGAATCATTGCTGGAATAGTCTTCAAATTCTATCATTCGTAATCATCGAGCCGTAATAACACTTCGGTGGTACATACACGTTGAAAACTGAATTTACTCCGTACTTTACCCGACGGATTTTCGCGGTGTAAAGTTCCTCTCAAATTTACTTTCGTGTAAGCGATTTCCACTCGAGTAAAGTGTTGGTGAAACGCTCCAAGAAGTTACTCTCGAGTAAACAAGATTTACTCCAGAGTAAACTCTTACTCTTTGTTTGGTGAAACCGGCCCTTAATCTCAAATTTTGAGATAAAATCAGTTTTTGACATATGCAACGTCATTACATCGACATAACATCATTATATAACGATATTAATTTGATATTTAATATTATGAACATTGCAATACTTAACAGTAACAATGATCAACAAATGGTGCGACTAAAATGCCTATTCGTCAATAATGAATCCTTTTTTGGATTTTCAAGTTTTCTGGGAAGTTTACAAGCATGTTTCGAAGTAGGATCATCTCAAATAAATTTTATTACATAATTTAAATGCTCCAATGATGACATGTAACAAGTATCCTTTCTTCTTATCTTTAGCGTATCAAATTTCAATGGAACTTACTCCGGTAAATATACGAGGCGTATTCCAAAACTCAGGTACGTTTGGTCTTAAAAACATAAGCTCGTGAAAAAAGGCCTCTCTTAACAGTAATATTATACTACATCTCTACTTTACTTTTCCACATTTTGGGATGTAAGCCTGTAAAGCTAGCAGCGCCCAAGAGTGGAATGCTTGCAGAAACACTCACAATGAAAACAGAACAAAATGAATGAACAAAGAACGTACGTTACCAGTTTTTCTTTGTAAATCGCCAGTTTTTTAGAAAATATTGACTGCAACTCGGAGCGTAATTGTTGATGGAATATCTAGCGGCTTCTCGCACGAATTAAACAATTCAATATATTAAAATTAAAATATGATAATGAAATACTGGAAGGAATACAGCTAAAAATGTATGTGCCGAAATAGTTGTAACTTTTTCACTCTTGTTACGATGTAAGTGATCTTTTTATTTCAACATTTGGGCAACTACTGCAGGATGTTCTACGAAGGGGCGTAACTAAACAGCTGACGCGGCGGAGGGATACTTCTCTGAAGTACACGTGATGTTCACTTGTTTCGCGAACTGTCACTTTATCCCAATTAAGAAAATCGTTCTATACCGAGACACGTCACGGTAAAAGAAAAGAAGAAAAGAAAAAAAATTCACGACAGTTAAATAATCTTTTTAGAAATAAAAAAAATTAAATAGTTTGTAAAATAAAAATTGTATTATTTGCTAAAAAATGATAAAATATCTGACTTGCAGTTTATACAGTAATAATAATAATACAATAATAATCGTAGTAACAATAGTAACAAATATAAGATAACGTTAATTGTAAAATAATGATATAAAAACTGATGCATAGAACATTAAATTACTTTAAGAAAAAGAAACTTCTATAATTAACTCCGCACTCAATGTTTGTTCAGTTAAGATCACATTGCACTTCACTGCACTTCACTATGACCCTTAAATCACTTTTTTCATTATTTCTCTGCTCTACACTGCACGACACCTCCACAATATATTACTTACGCTTCGCTCTATAACCTGCTATTCTTAGTCAAGTCCCTCATTTACTTAGTAATACCCTAAATTAATTCCCCAAACTGTAGAACGCTTCGCGGAAAGGGCTCAAAGGTTTTTGCAGACTATTTCCCGACATCCGTTCTATGCGGTCTTAAATTAACTTGGTGCCTTTGATCCCCCCTACTGATGTATGTAGGAATACTTAGCCGCCGATTAATTTATTTCCAAGCTTGATTACCACTATAAGCTTTATACTAAGAGCAGATTCTTGCTACTGATCGTTTGTTTTCGAGTGAATCCCATCCTGCCATTTTCGTGCCCCTGTAAGGGAATTTAGCTGCCCTACGCTGAATTCTTTCCTAATTTTTACCATCCATAATTTTTGTGCGGTTTACTATATATTCTTACTGTCTTCATTACCTATTTCTTGCACTACACACTTCTACGTTTCGTACTAGATATTTTCCCGGTGTCTAATGCGGAGGTCAGCCGGTGCCCGCTATGTTACGCCGTTTCTGGGGGGCGAAGCGCTCGAGACGAGCTGAGTTGAGTCGAGTCGAGTCTCGCCTCGGCTGCCAGGCGCATTAGCATGGGGCGGGGTGGGGGGAGGGCCATCTTCCTGTTGACGCAATCTGCGCGGGATCGTCTGCTTCCGCTTGTCCTGCCCCTCGTGACGCCCCCCCCCCTCCCCACGTCCCTCCGCCAGCACAGACGACTCGCCAACAGACCAAGTGGATGTCTATCTCGGGGTACACGCACCAACGTTACTTTGATGCGAATTGTACACGTTGCAAATAAAGTGTTAAATGCACACTTTAAGTACAACTGCAAATGAATAACATTGTAGCCGTACCCATAGAGAGTTACATTATGGATTAATCAAAATGAAAGAAAAAATACACCTTCAATTAAAAAAAAAACTGTAATTTTTAAACTCATGGAGTTATAAACTTAATGTAAAAATATGTCAATTATTTTCAGGTTTAGGAACTAAAGTTTTCAAGATTAGTCTCAGAAATGTAATATATGATATGACCTGTTAGAAACTGTCTGATAACAATTTACCCCACCGCGCTCACCAGTGATCCACAAGTCAACTGTAGGAATAATTAGGTATGTGCAGGAAGTGCCACATCATACCATTTGCAAGTGGTTCCGCGCGCGGCAATGGTGTAACGGTTAGTTTCGGACTGTTGAACCAAAGTTGGCAGGTTCAAACCCGATCGACCCCGTAGGTTTTTAAGGGCGAAAAAATCCTTCGTACGCCTTCCTTCGGAGGGGAAGTAAAGCCGGCTGTCCCATGTTAGTAGATTTACTTGCATGTAAAAGATCCTCAAGCCTAAATGACGCCTCTGAACTAAATTCAAATCGCCCGTTTCTCGCCCAAGAAATACCTCCTTTCTCTGCTAGTTGGTGAAAGGACCGTAGCGAAATTTGCGTGGTTAGACGAAAGAGCAGGCCTAATGGCCTGAGTTTCGCCACGTAAAATAATTAATTCAATTCAAGGCGTTTTGCATCCCGTCTCTTTTGCCATGATGCTTCGGCGGACGGACTGTGTATCTTTAGTGCTCTGCCTGTGTGTCAGATTAAATAAACGTCATTTTACTATATTATTTTCCTTTATTTAAAACTTACAAATATACTACTATTTTTGATATCTATCTCACGTCGTTAATATTCCCATTATCTCCGATTTGTATATTATTTCAATTACAGGTTGAAGTATCTCAAATCATGTGCTATAAAGTTCCTCAAAAACTAAAAACGTTTCTGCGAAAACGAGCTCAAAATTACGCATTTTTAGAAATGGTTTAACGGCTTTTTCTCATAAAATATTCATAAGTATTTTATTTTTCTTTACACTTCTTGTACTCTACTGCTACAGCGCTGAGTAATTTGACATTAATGTCATTTTAATTGGTTCCTTTGATTTTTTCAAAATCACACATGTAATTTTTTATAATATACACCTCATCGTTAAAATTATGGACTTTTTTTTATAGATTATTGCATTTCTGGTAGAAGAGCTTCAAATGACTTCCAATGAAGAGTCTCGAAAATTCAAAAGTGTTTTGTGAAAATAATCTCAAAGTTTCTTGTACGGATAATGCTGAATGGGCTAAATAACACGACATAAATGCTACTTTAATGTATTTTTTTGTTTTCTCTAAAATTACACAAATGCATTTTGCTTAAAATATCTCTCACGTCATATTATGGTCATTTCTTATAAATGATCGCATTAGAAAGTACAATTGTTTCAAATAACACTCATGAATTTCACGAATTCTCGAAACTTTTGGGTGAAAATGTGCTTCAAAATGCGCAGTTTCAGAAACGCT